AGGAATACTTTTGACAAATTTAACTTAAAGGGGACCTATCATGCAAAATGCACTTTGTGATGTCTGTTATACATAAAGATGTGGAACTCACGCAGCGTCAGAAAATGAAACCCTCTGTCTTTTCCTCCGTACCCAAATCTCTAAAAACGGGGGAACAACGGAGCTGATCCAGATTTGCGTCCGATATGACGTAATATCTGAAATGTGGACCCACGGCCCCAGAAACGTTGCTATCAGAAACAATGCCCGACTGTTTTGGACGTAATATGGTCGGTGTTTACATTAGCATGGCTAACACTCAGAGCTAACCTGTACTGGAGAGCATGTGTGTGAAGAAGCAGGAAGTAAAAAGGAACTCACCTTGTGGTATAACCGGCAAGAGAGAAAGCCTTTGAGCTCCATGCTGTTTCGGAGATAATCCTTGATAATCCATGATATGGCGTTTCATCACGGCAGTATTTAGTTTAGACAGTAGCTGCCGGGTCCCGCGTGAACTCAGACCCCTCCTTTTTATTTTAAAGCTTTATACCCAAATCAGCACTTTAGAAACAGGAAGTGAAATAGAGGGATATGAGGCATGGCTAGAATGGGTGATCTGTTTGGTATTTTGAGCAAAACACTTCATAGACATGTTTTTTATATTTGTGTATATCTGAGACCTCTGCTATTGCCTGAACACAGCATGATAGGTGACCTTTAAGTTGAGTAAGATATTTGTTTTTTCTTTTCAGCGGGCATCCGAGGAAATCGAGGCCCCTGACCAAACCATCCAGCAGATACAGTGCGTCATCTGTCCTTTCATCAAAACACTTTCATAGAAACACATCTTTGATTTCTGTGCCTCTGTTGAGTTAGCTTTAGCAGTAGCTGTAAGGCTACAGTAGACATTTTCTTTCCAGCAGAGTTATGGATCTGTGAAAAAAAAATCGGGAAAAGTGTTGTTTTGATATCTCCAGCTCTGACCCTGCTGTGTGTTGTTGTGTGTTCAGATCTGTCGCTGGGGTTGCTGACTCAGCGTTTCCTGGAGCTGCTGCTGGCGGCTCCTGACGGGGTGGTGGATCTGGGTCATGTGACCACGAGCCTGCAGACCCGCAGGAGGCGAGTTTACGACATCACGGCGGTCCTCGAAGGCATCAGCGTCCTCAAGAGGCAGTCGGTCAACCACTTCAAGTGGATGTGAGTGAACACAGACTCAAAGGTTCAAAGGCTTTACTGTCATGTAAGCTACAGGGGAGAAATGGCAATGACATTCTTCTGACCTGAGCTCCGCCAACAATGCAACATATATAGTAAAATAAAAAGTAGTGCAAGAAGTATACATGCTTGTAAATAGAATCTGATATGTACAATAACAGAATATTAAATAATGTACATTAAGACTAAATTAAATACGGTTTATTGCGGTGATAACTATTTATATAAATAAGTAGATTGCAAGATGACAACAGGAATGTTTATCGAGGCACTTAGCAGAGCTCAGGGAATATGTCCTCTGGGTTTATTAATGCTCACTGTTCGCTTTCATATTCTATCAACTTATTGGTTCTCTTGAGTTCTGTTATAGCCCCCATCAAAGCAACATTTTAACACTTTATTCAACAATTTATGATAAGCTCAAACCCTACAATAATACATCTATCTGCCAGGCTCTGTTCTGCATTTTCTCTGTGGCCATTTATTTTTCCAACTAACCTATTATACTATTTTTAGGCATATATTATAGGTCTCGGATATATACAGATATATAAAAATAATGTCTATATGAACAGATCATGCATTTTAGAGCTCACCTCATATCCCTCTATTTAAGCCCTGTTGCTAAAGGGCTGATTAGCTTTAAAAAAAACAACAACATCCGATATGACGTCATATCAGCAGCAAATCTGGATCAGCTCCGTTGTTCCCCCGTTTTTAGCGATGTGGGTACGCATCAGAAAGTGCATTTTGCATGATACGAGACCTTTAACACATTTAAATAATGAGTTATTTCTGTTTCAGAGGAAGCACGTCCATCTCCAGCTTCCTGTTGCAGAACCAGCAGAAGCTCCAGAGAGAGTTGGACAGCCTGAAGCTGGTGGAGGACACGCTGGACTCGCTCATCAAGAGCTGCGCTCAGCAGCTGTTCAGCATGACCGACGACCTCGACAACGCCACATATCCTTTCACTGTCTCCACGTTCTGCCTGTTTTAACACCAGAGAGACTTCGGATGGGAGGAGACTTCATTATCAAGCGAACGGATCATTAATGTAGTTTTTCATGCAATGATGTCAAAAAATAGTGCATTCAGCCTTTCATACGGGGAGATTTCCTTCTTCTTCTGGGTTTTGGACATTTAAAGACATCAGCGTGGACTTTTAAAAACTGGGATGACATTTTATTTACCAAATGATAAATTGTGGAAAAGTAAATTACAGTCCAGGTTTAGACCAAAACAGGAAGTACATTAGGCTTTCATTTATCAGGTTGAAAGAAACATCATTTCAAATGAATGCTAATGTTCGTCCGGCTGGATATATATATATAAATAAAACAAATGTGCAAATTTGCAATATGGCTTTTATAATGAAATAAATGTCAATGATGTGTTTAAAGCTTGTTTTGGCGTCCCAATGAAGCCAGTTAATGCAGGTTTTAATGAACATTATGGGACTGCAAAACAATGTTGTTGTAAATGTGGATTTCTAAAACGTGAAGCAGGTTTTCTTTAACTTTTGCACGTCGGCCTACGTGACCCAGGAGGACGTCGGGCGGCTCGCAGCCTTCCAGCAGCAGACGGTCATCGTGGTCAAAGCTCCGGAGGAAACCAAGCTGGAGGTCCCGGCTCCCAAAGAGGTGAAGAAGTATTTATTAAAGGTCTCCTATTATACTATTTTTAGGCATATATTATAGGTCTCAGATATATAAAAAACATGTCTCTGAAGTAGGGATGTCCCGATCACCTTTATTTGCTCCCGATCCGATTCCGATCATTTGATTTTGACAATTTGCCGATACCGACTTTTCCCGATCCGATCTTTATGCAATGCATTAATATAAGAGAAAAAAAGCATTTAAGTTGTCCCTGAAGGTTATTTTTTTATTTAAATTGGATATTCTATCCAACATGGATATAGCTTCTTTCTTTCACAGCAGCATTGGATCAGTTCAGTTGTGCAGCATTGGATCAAAACAAAATAAAGCTTTCAGTACTCGTTAGCTTACTGCTACAATTAGACACTGCGCCCACTCTGTTGCCAGATTTGAGAGAAATAAGCAACCAGGTC